CTTGAACATAGTAAATAGCCATAACGTTTGAACGGTAAGTACTAGGGCTTTCGTATTTCAAATATGTAATCCTTGTGAAAAGAACTTTTATTGGATACGACGAACTTTGACCCTTTGACCTAGACCTTGGAGAACACATGTGTACATCTGAATCTTTTTTTCTGTTTCGTTTCTATGGCAACTGTGAGCGACTCATTACAATTATTTTGAAAGTAGAAATCACTTTGACACATTGCAAGGAATAAACATTGAAAGTTTCAAAACGATTGCCTGAGTAGTTATTGAGAAAATCGAAATTAAAGAATTTTTACTTTCACCTGGTTTCCATGGCAATAATCGATTATATGAAAATTTTAAATACGAGTTGCAGAACTACAGATACTAATCCTTAAAATAAGAAAAGTTTCATGACGAACGTTTAAGGGACCAGAGAGAACACTCTCGGACAAAATTTGTCGCTTTTTACAGGTTTCCATGGCAACGGTAGACATATTGGAACTGAACGACCTCACTGCACAACTACAACCAGTGATCGTCCTTTGAGGAAAGTTTCAGGAAGATTGTCCCAGCCATCTCCGAGAAACAGCCTGGATAAAAAAAACATGCGTACAATATCAATATGTCGTCCCCGACTTCGTTCGGGGCGACATAATAATAAAAGTGAAAAAGAAACCTAAGAATAACAAGAAGGTCTTCCGCTGAAGACGGAAGACCTTAATAAAAGTGAAAAAGAAACCTAAGAATAACAAGAAGGTCTTCCGCTGAAGACGGAAGACCTTAATAATAGGGAAAAAGAAACCGAACGAAAACAATAAGGTCTTCCGTTGGAAACGGAAGACCTTAATAATAATAACTAGATACGAACTCGTTGCAAGCAACGAGAGGTCTTCCGTCCGATTCAGGAAGAAAAAAACACGTAAAATTGAGCTGAAAAGTGATTCAAAATTTTGGTCACAATTAAGGAGGATTGAACCCAGGTCGCCAACATGAATGCACTGTTTTTTTATTCCGAACGCGCAAACCGTTACACTATTGGGAATACTGCTTCAAATATACTTGTGTATACTTTTGCAACAACACACGTGTCTAAGAATCATAAAAGGCGGGCTACTAATCATAATTTCGCGCCAAACGCCACGAGTAAATATTCGCGCATTTTCTTTAAACTGATCTATTAAATAGGTGCAATAGCTTCAATGAAATTAAATAAATAAAACGTTCTTATCGCCTTTATTTTATTTCGACGTTAGGAAAGTATATTTAACACATTGTACACATTACATATCGTATCTAGCCCAGTTACACTAAAGCAGTGAAACGGAAATTAAGTTTTATTATTGACTCTGAATTGCAACGCACTACTACGTGAGAGTCCAAGTAGTTTTTAACATTTCATGTATCCTTATGTCAGAATGGTTTGACCAAACTCAGCTGCCTCCATAAGCCCCTACTCGCGAAATGGTGGAGTTGACAGAGACAGCCGCCATTTTGGTCCCGCTTCAGGTTTTTGAAAGTTAATATCTCGAGTTTAGACGCATCAATTTTCAAACAAATTATATAGAAAGCATCAATAAAAGGGTCTCTATTACCATTCCAAAAATAAATAAAAAATATTGAAAAACAAAGAAAGTTGAAAATTTGAACTTTTTAAATTGGCTTCCGGTAGCGACAGGAAGTACTGACGACGAACGAAAGGTCGCGTCCTGGAAAGAATTGATCATCATCTATAAACTCTGAAAGTTTCACATTGATATCTTTTACCGTTTTCGAGTTTAATCGTAGACAAAATGTCGTTTAAAAATCAGGAAAATGGTCCAAAACTTGGCACCAGAGAGGAATTTCCAAAAACTGTCTTGGAACTTTCAAGAGTATCTTACAACACATCTTTCCTGAAAATTTCATCAAATTCTATCAAGTAGTTGTCGAGAAATCGTGTCAGAAAAATAATAATAATAATAATAATAATAATAAGAAACAGAGCAATAACTATAAGGTCTTCCGTGAAGACGGAAGACCTTAATAAGAAACAATAGAATCACTATAAGGTCTTCCGTGAAGACGGAAGACCTTAATAATAAGAAACAGCAGAATCACTATAAGGTCTTCCGTGAAGACGGAAGACCTTAATAAAAGTGAAAAAAAAAACCTAAGAATAACAAGAAGGTCTTCCGCTGAAGACGGAAGACCTTAAAAACAGTGGAAAAGAAACAAACGAATAACAAGAAGGTCTTCCGCTGAAGACGGAAGACCTTAATAATAAAAGTGAAAAAGAAACAATAGAATAATAGAAGGGTCTTCCGTTGGAGACGGAAGACCCTAAATATTTAAATTTGATCTCGACTTAAACGTTAAGATTTTGACGTAAGCCTAAGATGCTTTATGATCCCGGGGCCTGGGTACCAATAGTTTTGACCTTCAACTCGGAGTTCGACCAACTTTTGAAAATCTTTAACCTTGAGCAAAACGTTGCTAGGGCTTTCAGATTTCAAAAAGTACTTCCTGTGACAAGACCTTAACATTGGTACCAGTTTTTGACCGTTTGACCAGGGAATGAAAGATATCATATTAACCATTACTTGTGAATTGTTACTTTCATATTTCGCAGGTGTAGTCCTAAATTGTGACAAAACCTCTCTTTTGGTACCAGCATTTTTTATCTCTTGACCATGCCTTTGTAGTGTGATTTGCATTTGAGAATCTTAAACCTTAGCCGTGAGCATGCAGCCATACGGAAACATCAGTGTTTTACAAACACATTTTAGCTCACGTGAGCTTTTCTGATCATTTGTCCGTTGTCTGTCGTCGTCGACGTCGTAAACTTTCCACAATTTCTTCTTCTTCTCAGGAACCACTGGGTCAATTTCACCCGAACTTGCCACAAAATATCCTTGGTAAAGGGGATTCAAGTTTAAAACATATAAGCTATAACTATATTGATACGGTGGCATTCTGTAGTAGTATAAAATCCCCCCCTCCAAATTAATTTTCCAATACGCATGCAGCTGACTTGTTTTTACGTAGCCCATGTTCTCAGGTGAATGATGTGTCCCACGAACCTCTTATTATCTTACCTGGCATTTGTACGTAAAGAAACAGAACATTATTTATCATTATCCTACAGCATGGTGTTTACGTTGACTCCTCTTTGTCTTAATTAAAGAACCGATCTTGTATTTTATTGAACATTTTGCTGTAATGGTACTAGTTTTAGGCCAATTCCAACTAACATCAAACATAGCAATACAATTTTTCAGCGTTAATATATATCATCTATCAACATTTAAGAGTATAAAGAAAATGTGTTCAGCAAGATTGATTTTGTTGTATTTTTTGTGGTTTCTCTACAGTACTAGTATTCACTTTTCATGGCCAACGTCAGGAAATGAGATGTTCTCAGTAAGGTTATGGTCATCCATTGACTGGGAAAAAGATGATGCTTTTATATTATGTTGATATTTTATTTTTTTCGGGGGAGGTTCCCCCTCCCCTCTTTCAAAACCTTTTGCTATTCGGGACTGTTAACATAGTGTTGCCAATGACTTGCATGTCTATTATCACTTTGACTCTAGTTATACATGTATTTATTTTTTGTATGTCTAATCACATGGTCAATTGTTTGGGATAACCAACAAACAGGCATACAGCCAACCATATTGATTTACCATGAAACTTTACTCTATTACTTATTTTTAGATTTCAAACATTAATATGAAAATATGTTAATTGAATTCAATCAGAACTCTGCAGAGTGGCAATGCAAGATAAGTGAATATACAAGCAATATATATAATTCAGTTTGATTTTTAAAAAATCATATTATATTTTGGAGAAAAATATTACAATCTAAAACCCATAAAAATATTCAATAGTGAATTAAAGTATTTTTACTTTAACAGTTAAAATGGGAGATGCTTAATTTTTGGGTTGTCACATTGTTTATCAAGAAAACATCTTTACAGCTTTAATGAAAATATTCAACACTGCTCATTTGTAATGTATGCAGTATACTGAGACCAAGGATTGTAATGAAAATGTCCCTTTAAATAGTGTCTTTCTGTCAACACGTTATTTGATAAATAGGCTAAATAATCTTTTAACCTGCAGACTTCACATAATGAATATTAATTGACAACACCATATCGTTAGGTTCGTAGAAACAGGTTTAAAAGGGGAATGCAACCTCCTCCTATATATAAAACATCAACATAATAAACAACTTACTCAGTCAACAACAAAAGCAAGAGTTTGCGGGGTTCTTTCAGCATGTATTATATGAATATTTTAATTTTTTAAGTTTCTGGTATACAAGTATATAAATATATGTATGCACTTTTTTTTACATTTTGGTTTGAACATAGTATTTCAATGTTGCTAGTATATGGGTGATAGAGGGAATTGGTAAATTGCTTCATACAAATCTTCCCATGTCGGTATCTTTTGGTTTCTGTTATAGTTTTTTGTCCCCAGATTTCACTGAAAGTTGGAGATATTAATTTCGCCATGTCTGTCCGTCCGTCCATCTGTTCGTCTAGCTGTATTTCTGTCAGTCTGTACCACTCGTGCCCGTGCGATATCTCGAGAAACTTATCAGCTTTTGCAACGGAATTTTACACAACTCCTTACGGCCTATGAAGACCCCTTTATATTAGTCTGATGTCATAAAGTCAAAGGTTAAGGCCGTTAATCCATGTGTGTGTAAAACTTTCATTTCTGAAGGATATCTCAAGATTCTTTCGCGATGAAGTTTTATACCATAACTCCATATGGTTCCACCAACCCCTCTTAAAGCCCAACCCCTCTCCCCCGATCCGCGCTTGTTCATTTTTCCTTAAGCGGGGGACACAGAATATCTGTTTTGTTTTTTTTTTTACTTTGATTATTGATAAACAGTGGCTTACCTAAACATGTTTTGCTTTAACTAAAATGTAAATTTGAATTTATTATTTAGAAAACAATTTTAATCTCAAGACCATGCGAAAGAATTAAAATTGATAGCAGGCTGACAAAATTTACTACTATAATTTGGATCTGAATTGATACCCATTTTACAAAATTTACAAAATATCTTTTAATTTTTCCAAAACAAGAGATTCATAAGTTATGAGTTTTCACATTTTGGCGCTATCCTCCACCATATTTTCTAGTTTTTGAACTTCATCGATCACACTTTCTTCCTTGGAGTTCAATTTTTCCGGCGGGATATTTTCGTTTATATCCAGACTGTTCCCTCCCGAGGGTAAACGACCCTCCGAATACTCCTCTACTGGACGGAGCGGCACTCCTCCACCCTCGTTTGGAACCTCACCAACAGAATTCTTGTTAACAATCTCGGGAACGAGATGAACTTTGGACGGAACCGAATTTTGGGTTACTGGTTCCGTTAGTCTTATTTCGGTACTGTAAGGATTTTTACTGGGAACCAAAAGTATTTCATTATTGTCTTTCATGTTTATCAAATCTGATTCTAAACGATCATCATTAAATTCACCTTTCTCTGGTGCTTGAACGTGCAGAACAGAACCTAAAAATTTAAACAAAAAAATATTTTACTGACAAATGACACAATTTACGTCATGTAGATAAAATTACTTTCTAAAGGCTTCCTACAAATAATTGTAAATTAAACACAATCGAGGTGTATAGGACCAGTTAGAGTATTTACGTTTAGTCCTTGACTCGCACAGGTTGCAGTACAGCTGACAGTTTATCTTGGCCCAGCTTTCGTAACGTCCCCTGCAAGCACTTCGTCCATAGCTTGCACAATCTGACAACTTGTCGCTACAAGCTGCAAACAAAAAGGGAAAAAAAATCTCCCTCATTTTTTTTTCGTTTGCTAAGAGAATAAAATTACTGCAAATGAACACATTTAAAACATCAAGCTTTAAATATATGGCTACATCTTATTTTTGAATGTTGCAGTAAATTAGTTTATAAAAAAGCCAATCCGTTCTCATTTCTGACGTAATTTTGTACAAACTTAGGACTCACGTTGGCAGAATTTGCAATGTCTTCTGCAATTTATTTTTGCCCAGGAAGCGTAAGCTGTGCACACGTCATCGCCGTACTCGTCACAGTCGTTGATTTTGTCACGGCAGTGATCACTGCTGACTACCACAGTTGTAGGTGGCGCTGTTGTTGTGGTAGTAGTGGTGGTAGTAGTAGTTGTTGTAGTAGAAGTGGTTGCTATAAATAAATTTAATAAATAATTTTTATACATCTAAATTTTTGAATATCAGCGAAATTTGTTAAAACATAGTTTTTTTTAAACCTGATCCCACCTCTGATGTTTTGGAAGTCCGTGTTTGCTCTGCTCCTATTTTGTATTGTTTTATGGACTTTTGATCTTGAATACTGTTCGAATACTGTTCGTATCATTTGACATGAAATATATACATGTATATACAAACGCAATATTTCTTGTCTTATTGACCATGAGTGGACGTCCTTTAATTTAGTAAACTGTAGTACAGAAACATGAAGTTGAGTCCTGTGTTGCATACCCGATCAACAAACTTAACGCTAATGTGACAAAAACGCTTTACGAAAACATTTTCTAAGGGGCAAACAACATTGCGAGACTAGCGTTACGCAGACAGAAGCCATTTCAAGATGATAAAAGATACCAATACAAAAATATATTCTAATAAATAATAACTAGATGCTGTCATGAGACAGTAATACCCGCACTAAGGTGTTTGCCTCTAAATGCACACTCTTTTAAATTGGACTTTACCAACTGAAGGAACAAGAGGCCCAGGGGCCACAGCGCTCACCTGAGCACATCGGGCTTGAATTTAACACCCCCCCCAGGCATTCATCATTTGAACAAACTAGAATCTACACTACCTGAGGATGATTCCATATAAATATCACTAGTCATAGCTTTGAAGTACTTGAAAAGAAGATTTTAAAAGATTTCCCTATATATCCCTATGTAAAATATGGGTCGGCCATTTTGGCCCCACCCTAGCTCCGGGGTCATGATTTGAACAAATTTGAATCTACACTACCTGAGGATGATTCCACATGAGTTTCGTCTTTCCTGGCCCAGTGCTTCTTAAGAAGAAGATTTTTAAAGATTTTTCCTATATATTCCTATGTAAAACTTGGGTCGGCCATTTTGGCCCCACCCTAGTCAGGGGGTCATGATTTGAACAAACTTGAATCTACACTACCTGAGGATGATTCCACATGAGTTTCGTCTTTCCTGGTCCACTGGTTGTTGAAAAGAAGATTTTTAAAGATTTTTCCTATATATTCCTATGTAAAACTTGGGTTGGCCATTTTGGCCCCACCCTACCCCGGGGGTCATGATTTGAACAAATTTGAATCTACACTACCTGAGGATGATTCCACATGAGTTCCATCTTTCCTGGCCCAGTGGTTCTTGAGAAGAAGATTTTTAAAGATTTTTCCTATATATTCCTATGTAAAACTTGGGTCGGCCATTTTGGCCCCACCCTAGCCCCGGGGATCATGATTTGAACAAACTTGAATCTACACTACCTGAGGATGATTCCACATGAGTTTCATCTTTCCTGGCCCAGTGGTTCTTGAGAAGAATATTTTTAAAGATTTTTCCTATATATTCCTATGTAAAACTTGGGTCGGCCATTTTGGTCCTACCCTAGCCCCGGGTGTCATGATTTCTACATTACCTGAGGATGATTCCATATGAGTTTCATCTTTCCTGGCCCACTGGTTCTTGAGAAGAAGATTTTTAAAGATTTTTCCTATATATTCCTATGTAAAACTTGGGTCGGCCATTTTGGCCCCACCCTAGCCCCGGGGGTCATGATTTGAACAAACTTGAATCTACATTACCTGAGGATGATTCCACATGAGTTTCATCTTTCCTGGCCCAGTGGTTCTTGAGAAGAAGATTTTAAAAGATTTTTCCTATATATTCCTATGTAAAACTTGGGTCGGCCATTTTGGCCCCACCCTAGCCCCGGGTGTCATGATTTGAACAAACTTGAATCTACACTACCTGAGGATGATTCCACATGAGTTCCATCTTTCCTGGCCCAGTGGTTCTTAAGAAGATTTTTTAAAAATGCCATTAATTTTTCTCTAATTCATAATTATCTCCCCTTGGAAAAGGGCGTGGCCCTTCATTTGAACAAACTTGAATCCCCTTCACCCAAGGATACTTTGTGCCAAGTTTGATTGAAATTGGCCCAGCAGTTCTTGAGAAGAAGTAGAAAATGTGAAAAGTTTACAGACAGACGGACAGACAGACAGACGGACAGCTAGACAGACGGACAGACAGACAGACAGACGGACGCCGGACAAAATGTGATCAGAAAAGCTCACTTGAGCCTTCGGCTCAGGTGAGCTAAAAAGTCAATATAATTCAATAATTTACAAAATAGGGCCTCCATGTATTCATCAAATTGAGCATAATATTCTCAAGTGACCATGTGACCCATGGGCCTCGATCTTATAGGTATTTCATATTCGTAATTCATTACCAGTCTAAAATTAAACAACAGAATTTAATTAATGATGTAAATTAGGTTTCATAGAGGGGGGATATAAATTTTTGGCCCATAATTGGAACTTTTTAAATCTATTTTTTCATATAGATCAACAACAAATAATATTACATGTATTCAAATTAGTGTAAAGCATTTTTGATGATTTTTTCAAATGTACAAACTTTTTTATATTTGATTACGCAGAAAACACCTTGAAAGCTGCCATATACCCAATCAATTTAGTCAACCCCCCACCCCTCTCCCATCAACACACACACACACACAAACACATCCTATTTTCCTGTTTTTGGAAATAGGCCTAGATGGCAAAGTTGAGATAAAACATCTTTTGTAAATAATAATTTTAAATTTGTTCTTATACTATTTAAATGTATCTGAAGACCTGCATCACATTGGGCTTGCGTCACGTACCCAACTTAAGTACTAGTTTTACCATTATCATTTTTAGATAGCTCACTGCACGTGCAGTACTAGTGTTGTGTACACATCATTGCATGTATGTCAGTTGGAATTATTTGGTGTTTTAATTGGATTATATTTCAAGTTGACGGGACCTATGGCAGTCGGTAAGTACAAGTTTTGGTATAGATTTGGGTAAAATAGTCTGAAATGCAACTGGTTAGGTTAAAGTTTAAAGGATCAAAGGTCATCCTATGCTGCAATAAGACGAATTTCACATTCTGAAGAGTTATCGCCCGTTATCGACGTTACATTCAGTAACAAGACACAGAAATTTTTTTCTGGGAGGGAGGGGGATTTCCAGACTAGAATTTCCTGTGAAGCAAATAAAAGGAGCAGTTATGGTGGTGTCTGTTTTCTAGGGTGGAGGGCATCCAAAGTCTTTTTTATTTGCTTTAGTATATATTATAGTCCTGCAAATTCGGGGGGGGGTCCTCCCAATCCACTCCCTGTCCCTGTAAACAGTAATGACAAATGATCATGTGACTCCTAAATAGTAGGAAACTTTTTCTATTGACTATACATAATTTTGCTTTTTGTGTTATTATGTTATGTAAATTTAATGGTATAAAGGTTTTGAACCCCCTGGAGGTCATCCCCACTCTCCTAATATTAACTGGAAATGTTCACAATATGACTGCATTAAATTAAATAAAAGTGCATCAATGATAAGATTGCTTGACATTTTATTCATCAACCTATCCTCCTAGAATTAGGAATGAAAATCATTCAAAGAGATGGACCACATTAAAGTATTTAAAATTTTGTATATAGGCTATTAACATTTTTTTTTAAATGTAAAAACAAGTAGTAGTTTGCATACATGTCATGAATAAACAGGGGTCTGGGAAGGGGTGAGGGGAAGGATCGAGTTCATGTCTCTTTACGTCTTAATGGTTGAAAACTCCTAAAATGAATGTTGACCTCAAATCTGACTTGTCCTCATTATTTTTCAAGTGGTGGTGTCTCCATTTGAGTGAAAAATTCCTGAGAGAGTGTTTAATAACAAACAAACAATTAAATGACATAAAAACACAATACTGATTTGCGTTAAGAAATATGCAGGGGATTTTTTCCATCATAAATCTTCTTCTCAAGAACAGCAAGGGCATTATTGTCCCCCATTTTGGGGGAAAGGGAGGGAACATTAAATCTTATTTGTCTGTCAGTCTGGCCATCTTTGACAGTATGTGCATCTGTCACAATAAATCAAACCTTGGTCATAACTTTTGAATAATGAGAGATAGGGCTTTCATATTTCACATGTACATTACCACAAAACTTTCTAAATGTACTATGATTTTTTAACCCAAGTGAGACCTTGACCTTAAAGTTTTACCTACTTTCCAAAAAATAACATTTTAAATTAATCATTTTGAAAGAGAAAAGATATGGCATTTAAATTATACGTGTATATTACATGTGAAAAGACTTTTCTAAATATATCATGACTTTTGACTCTGTGACCTTGACCTAGAAGTTTAACCTACTTTTCAAAAATATTATATTATATATTTATATATATATAACTTTTGATTGAAAAGAGATGGGACTTTCATATTTGACATGTACTTTACCTGCAATAAAATATTTCGAGCATGGGATGATTTTCCCCCTTTGACCTAATTTTCATAAAGTGACATATGATAGGGGTGCATATTTGACACACAATCTGCCATAAATTATGGCATCTCATTCACTTAAACACAGAAAGCAGAGGACCACAATTCTTTGAATTTGCTTGTATAATCTTGATATGGAAACATCTTCATATAATGTAGATTCAAGTTTTTTATGCCACACCATGATTAGGAATACATGTATAGTTTTTGTCATGTCCGTCCTCCACCCTTCCATCTGTCTTTCCATCAGGCTCAAAGAAACTTTCTAGATATTTTTATCAAAGTTCATATGTTGATGCATATACTGATGTAAACTATCCAACTGCAGCAGTATTTTTTGACCTTGACTTTCCTTTGACCTTCACTTAACTTTTCTTAAAATTAGTGTTTAGCTTTATTTTAAAGAAACCATAATGATTCAAATTGTGTAATGAAACTTCACATGATGATACGTACTGATGTAAGCTTTA